TTTATTTTTTTTTTAATTTGTTAAAGAACTTGACTCGAAACACAGGTAGTACTCAGTACACTACTTAATAGGCCAAGCAGTTGCCTTATTACTAATAATAAACCTTATGCCGTAACAAAGGGCTCCAATGTGGCCTTGACAATACATACTAATAGTACAAAAAGGAACACCATCCATGCGCAACATGGCACTTTTAATACTTTGATATTTTTTAGCTGTTAATGAAATCATTTTCTCTGAAAGCTACCACAGAATTCGGGAAACCTGACTACCAGCTGGCCTCAGAACCATTAAACTGAGTTTTAGAGCTGTAACTTCATTAGGAGATAATAGAATGAGTTGCCCAGTCATAAAAACAGAGACACAAGCAAAACCCATGCATCGAGTGAGATGCATGGTGCGAGACTGGTCAACAGATAAATCTGTTTACCCCTTGTTTTTTTTTTAAATTATATTTTTAAAATATGCGCAGAGTGGTGCTATATCAACTATTTTATAGCCTGCTGCTACAAGAGAGTGTTGCTACATCGACTATCTTATAGCCTGACTTGTAACAGAGTGTTGCTACATTGACTATCTTACAGCCTGACTTGCAAGGGAGTGCTGTTACATTGACTAACAAACAGCTTGACTCGCAAGAGAGTGCTGCTACATCGAATGAAGGTTTTGGCTTGGGCAGGCAGTCTATTTAAGAAAAAATTATTATTTAAGAAAAAAAAAAAATTTCTTAAGTTTTTAAACCTTTTCTGGTTTGGTTTATTAATGTATCTTTAAAATATCTTTAAAGCTACAGTTTATGCAAAAAACTTTCTGACTACCATACAAGACTCTATATGTATATATTTATATATATATATATATGCATATATATATATACATATATATATATATATATATATATATATATATATATATATATATATATATATATATATATATATATACATATATATATATATACATATATATATATATATATATATATATATATATATATATATATATATATATATATATATATATATATATATATATATATATATATATATATATCATATATATATATATATATATATATATATATATATATATATATATATATATATATATATATATATATATATATATATATATATATATATATATATTTTTTTTTTTTTTTTTAACATCTTCACTTCCAACAAGGCTGCATGCAACCACTATAAGAGTTGGAAGTTACTGGAAGAGAAAAGACTAAATCTGTAGAGCAAGATAACGATTGACTGATGATTTAAAAGATTGCAAATTATATGAATCAGGAAAGCAAGATGAAGGAAGCGAATTCCAAAGAACTGATGTTCGAGGAAAAAAACTAGAAGAATAAGAGTTTTTGAAGCACTTAGGAACAGTCACAGAAAAAGGATGAGACTTAATTGAATAGCGAGTAACAGGAGAATGAATTTTAGTAGATGGCACAAGGGACGCTAGCTCTTTAGAGCAGTGCCCATTATAGTATTTGTAGAAAAGAGAAAGAGAAGCAACATTACGACGATGTGACAAAGGTTGGAGATTGGCTGCCAGAGCAGGTCCAACTATGTTTACAATTCGTTTTTGCACCTTGTCTAAAAGAGAAAGAGCATCATTAGAAGATCCGCCCCAGATGTGGCAACAGTATTCCATACAGGGACGGATTTGAGATTTATAGAGATAGAGAATAGAATCTGGGGTAAGAAAGTGTCGAGCTCGATAAAGAGATGCAACCTTAGCAGATGCTAATTTTGCAATGGATTTGATATACGGTTTAAAAGAAAGATCAGAAGTAAGAGTTAATCCTAGAAGATGAATGGTAGATGACTCATCTAGTACATTACCATTCATAAATATAGGAAGATCTAAATTATTACGATAACGATTGGCCGAATAAAATTGAGTTTTATCTGAATTAAAGTTCACCAGCCACCGTGAGCCCCATGCTGTAGCAGAAGTGAGATCCTTTTCAAGCTCAGATACCCCCTCCAAGCAATCAGAGAGTGTAGGCTTCTTATCATGACAAGAGTAAATGGTAGTGTCGTCAGCGAATAATGCCACCTTAGATGTGAGAATATCTGGAAGATCGTTAATGTAAATTAAAAAGAGTATAGGGCCAAGGATTGAACCTTGAGGAACCCCTGAAGTTACAGGATGTGAAGAAGAGTGTTGTCCATCGAGGACAACTTTTATACTACGATTGGAAAGAAAGGACTCAATAATCTTAAAGACGTTACCAGCTACACCATAAGAAGAAAGCTTATGGAGAAGACCAGCATGCCAAACTTTATCAAAAGCTTTAGAAATGTCAAGTGCGATAGCCTTAACCTCTCCACCTCTATCTAATGCACGGTAAAACCTATTGGTTATTAATGTTAGCACATCAGCTGTAGAACGAGAAGACCGAAATCCATATTGATGATCAGAAAGTAAGTTATTTGATTCAAGATGAGAGATTAAGTGTTCGTTGATTAAAGATTCAAAAACCTTGCTTATGACAGGAAGAAGACTAATGGGACGATAGTTAGATGAATCAGATCGCTCTCCGGAATTTTTGAAAATAGGGATAACAGATGCTGCTTTCCAGCATGATGGAAAACAAGACTCTGATAAGCACTTGTTAAATAGTTTAGAAAGTATGGATGAAAGCTCCGGAGAACACCTCTGCAAGACTACAACAGGAATGTTGTCAGGACCACAAGCTGTTGAAGAGTCTAAGCAGGAAATTACTTTAGATACAGAAGCTGAAGTGATGCAAATGTCAAGCAAGGGATCAACCTGTTTGACGGCTATGTCAGGTAAAACGCAACTAGTGGAATCAAGAGATGATATTGATGAAAAGTTCTTTGCAAACAATTCAGCTTTGTCTTTAGGTGAGGTGACAAAGTCTGAACCATACAAGAGAGAAGGAATAACAGATTTGCCCTTATTATTGATACTGTTAAAGATTCTCCAGAAGTCTCGAGAGCCTAATTTTTGTGATGAGATACGAGATTTAATGACCTGGGAATAGCGAGCTTTGGCGTCAGACAAAACCTTTTTACAATGGTTTCTGGCGATAGTGAACAGATGTCTGTTTTCTGGAGAATTGTTTTGCTGATAGATATGGAAGTAACGGTTTCGATCAGAAATTGCTGCTAAGTTATGTAAGAAGCACATTTGTCAGCAGGAAGACGAAAGATTTCTACCCAAGGGCCATCACGAAGAAAATCACGGAAAAAGTCCCAGTCAGCTTTAAGGTAGTTGTATGTGGTACGATGATAGGGGGATTCTGATGAAGTAGAAGAATTTGATAATAGTTTTAGAGAGATCAAACCGTGATCAGAAGTACTTAAGGGTGAATGTGGAGAAATTGAGCACTGACTAGGATCCAAAACAAGACATAAGTCGAGTAGAGAAGGTAAATGATTAGGGTTGTCTGGAAAACGAGTTGGAAAGTTGACTATTTGAGTTAGAGATTGAGAATGGCAAAAGTTGAGGGCCTTAACGCCAGCAGAGTCACTGACACTAGAGCCAAGCCAATCGGTGTGATGGGCATTAAAGTCACCAACAACAACGATATTGGCCGATGGATAAAGAGAGAGGGCTTGGTAAATTTGATCAGAAATAACATCAAGAATAGTGCAATCTTGGGTGAGTTCTTACGAATGTAGATGCCCAGGCCAAGCATGTGATTATTGGAGTCTTTACGAATTAAAGGAAGATAACCATCAACACTAAGATCACAAGATGGGACAGCCGAACTCAAATTAGTCTCACAAAGAGCAAGTAGGTCTGGTGAACTTTGCAAGAGATAAGACTCAACAGAAGAAAAGTTACTTCGAAGACCACGAATATTAGTAAATGATAGGTTTAGAGAACTTGGTGATGACAATGGTTTTTTGTGTTTTTTAGTTTTAGGTACTTTAGTCATTTTAAATTTATAAAGAACTTGACTCAAGTATAGATAGTACTCAGTACACTATTTAACAACTAAGCAATAGCCTCATTACTATTAATAAACCCTAAGCCGTAACAAAGGGCTCCAAATGTGGCCTCTGCAATGCACACCAAAAGTACAAACAGGGACACCATCCATGCGCAACATGGCACTGTTAGTACTCTGATATTTTTCGGCTGTTGATGGAATCAGCCTCTCTGAGAGCTACCACAGAGTTCGGGAAACCTGACTACCAGCCGGCCTCAGAACCATAAAACTGAGTTTTAGAGCTGTACCCTCATTAGGAGATAATAGAATGAGTTGCCCAGTCATAAAAATAGAGACACAAGCAATACCCACGCATTGAGTCAAGAAGATCCAGCGTTCAACATCCTAAACTGGAAACAATGTATTAAAAATACATCTGCGCCAGCCTAATAGATGAGGAAGGGGTGCGAGGCTGGTCAACAGATAGAATCTGTTTACCCCTTAATATATATATATATATATATATATATATATATATATATATATATATATATATATATATATATATATATATATATATATATATATATGTATATATACATATATATTTATATATATATACATAAATATATATATATATATATATATATATATATATATATATATATATATATATATATATATATATATATATATATATATATATATATATATATATATATATGTATATATATATATATATATATATATATATATATATATATATATATATTTATATATCAAAAACACTGAGAAGCATAATCTTTTTTTTCAACTACCCTTAGCAGAATTTATTTGTTTTTTCTATTCCTTATTATTTTTTGTTAAAGAAATGTTTTTTAACTATCTAATAAACTTATTTGTTCTATTAGTTAATTTTTATTTCCTATTTTTTTCCTACTATATTTTAAACTTAAATTTTTATATTTTTTAACATGTAGGACTTGATTTGTATTGTGCATATTACAAATAAATGATTAAATATTCAACAAATTTTTTCATTGTTGAATATTTGTTCATTTATTTGTAATATACTCTTTTCATTTAGTAAAGGGAAATCCTATGATGATAAATTCCACACAATAGTAACATTAGCTACAATTGTAACTCTTTTTGAAATTGGTAAAGAGTTTGCACAAGCCTGCATATTAAAGGAAGAATATTTGAAAAATTTGAGGAACTACTTAGAGTTAATACTATACTCCTCTACATTAGTATATATGATGTCATTTATTAAAAAAAATGAGGCTGAAAATTTATATGATGATAAGAATGTAAAATGGGCTTTTGGAGCTGTTTCAATTTTATTTGCATGGATTAACCTGTTATTATACTTAAAGCGAGATAGTTTTTTTGGAATCTATGTGATTATGATTAATGAAGTTTTCAAATCATTAGTGAGTGTTATAACAGTGTTTTGTTTGATTATTTTAGCATTCTCTTTGTCATTTTTTATGCTTCTTGGAAATCAAATTGCATTTAAATATCCTGGAAGGTCATTTATGAAAACAATTTCTATGACTCTTGGAGGATCTACTTATGATGATATATTTATAAATAACTCTTCTGCAACATCTAAAGATAACTATACCTCTTTAAATGTTAAGCTACCATATCCAGTAATGTCGCACATTTTGTTTACACTATTCTTGATAGTTTGTTCTATAGTCATCATGAACTTGTTGGTAAGAATAAAAGTTTATTTTGTTTTATGCTTTTTTAATTTTTCAATTTTTACTTGTTCCAAATTTTGTCAAAAATATTTTGTGAGTTACAAAGGTTTTTGGTTGTTACATTTTGAGTTAATAAAAAAAAAAAATTGTATACACGTACAGTAGCATGAAAAAATTTAGAAACAAATTTTTTTCAGTTTTTACAGCATAACTTTTCGCAAACTTTTTTAAATAAGCTGGAATTTTTATCAATATTGTGCTCTATATTATTTCTATATTATATTAGTGCTCTATATTATTTCAATTTAAAATACAAACTAAAAAAGTGGTAAAATTGAATGCTTAATTAACTTTTAGTTGATTTTTTTTGAAAAAGCTTTCATGCAAAAGTTTAGAAACAGTAAGATACCCTAAAATTAAATCATGCTTTTGTAAACAAAAACAAAATTTAGGCCAAAATGTTTGTGAAAATAAATAATTTAATTACTTTGAGATATTTGAAAAGCAGTGAATAAAACTAATTGCCAAAATATTTGCAAAAATTTTATAATTCAATTATTTAGCAATAATTTAAAAGCATGGAAAAAGCTAAAGAGAAAGTTTCAAAAGAATTAATTAAAGATGTGGAAAATAAAATGACTTACAGGCAGATTTCTGAACTTTACAATGTTTCTAAACTGGAGATTAATCACGTTATAAAAAGATTTTGTCTGCGCAAAACTATAAAAAGACCTAAAGTTACAACTGAAAAGTTTGATAGATTATTAGTAAGGTATTCCAAAAATTATCCTCGCAAGACTGCTGTCAAACTTAATTAATTTATGCATAAGTTTCAATGGTATAAACTGTAGTGTTTGTACAGTTTAACGTTAATTACAATAAAATAATCTTGATCTAATAAAAGATCAATAAAATAATCTTGATCTAAAAATTTTGATTCTAATGAATCAAAATTTATTCTATTTAGTAGTGACGGAAGTCACTACTAAATAGAATAAATTCTATTTACTCACTGTTAAACTTGGAGGAAAAAATGTTATTGATTGGAGATATTTTAGTAGTGACAATGTGGGTCGCGTTCATCACATAGAAGGTATTATGGACCAGAGAGTTTATTTAGATATCATAAAGAATGTTATGCTGCCACATGCAAAGCATATAATAACTCGCAAATGGACTTTACTACAAAACAATGATTCAAAGCATTGTGCTAGATTTGTTAAGAATTAATTTAAATCATAAAAAATTAAAGTTTTTGAATGGCGTTTACAGAGCCCAGATCTCAATCCTATTGGGAGTACATCGACTAGCAATTAGTTGGTAGAAAAACAACCAACAAAAACCATTTATTTGCATTGATTAAAGAATTTTTGTATAATATTTCTCAGGATGTTCTCATTAAATTAGTAGATTCAATGCCTCGTTGCTGTGATGCTGTTTTAGAAAGCAAATGGATTTGTCACTAAATACTAAGTATTTTGTTAAAACTATTTTATTGTTAAAAAGTTATTATTTTGTGAATTTTAGTAAAAGTTTTAGCTTTTTTGAAATAAAAATTAATCAAGTTCAGTTGTTCCTTTCATAACAATTCATACTTTTGCATGTATTATTATGAAGGTTTGTAAAAGGATATGCAGTAAAAACTAAAAAAAAAAATTGTGATTCTAAACTTTTGCATGCTACTGCATATATATATATATATATATATATATATATATATATATATATATATATATATAAATATAAATATAAATATATATATATATATATATATATATATATATATATATATATATATATATATATATATATATATATATATATATTATATATATATATATATACACATTTAAAATTTAGAAAAAATATTTTTTTCTGGAACTAAAAGTTTCATATAGTACTATATCAGGACACTTTAGAAAGTTTTTAACATGCTTTGTTGTTCAAGTTCAGTTTTTAGACATAATCTTATAGCAAAAGTAACATTTAATTTTTTTCCAATTTGCTAATTTCATTCAGAAGTTTAAATAAATGGGCAACTAACATTTTATTTCCGCCTCCTTATTTTTTTTTAATAAATATTTTTGCCCCATATTTTTTATTTCTTGAATACTTAATCAAAATTGATCGCCATTAAGATGAACAATAAGAAATCACTTAATAACTTAAAGATATCTTTCTTTTTTTATTTAAAAATATCTATTTCATATATATATATATATATATATATATATATATATATATATATATATATATATATATATATATATATATATATATATATATATATATATATATATATGTATATATATATATATATATATATTGGTTCTTAAAAACCCATTTAGATAGAAAATTACAACTCAGTGTTTTTGTTGTGGTGCACTTATCTTTTGTGTCAATTCTTTTTTAGATTTTATTGCAGAAAAGCTATAGTTTTTATTTCAAAAATAAAAAAGATGAATTTTTTTAATATCTTTTTTTACAACTTTTTTTTTTGGATTTATATTAAATTTCTCTTCATTAGAGTACTAAGTCAGGGTCTTAGCCAGCCTGATGGCACTTCATATAACGCGGTATTCTCAATTGGTTTAAAATTCTAAAAGGTTCATAAGATCATAGAAAAAAAAAATTAACTTAGTCTCAGATTTAAAGTGCCACGCCAGACAAGTAAAAAACGCAATTAATACGCACGACGAGGGAAAGAGTTGTTGGTTGATTTTTTTTATGTGTAAAAACCTGTTATCATTATCAAGCATCATTAACTTTAACAAGATTCAAACGTTGAAAAAAAATTTTTATTAATTTTTATTGAAAAAAGTTTAAAAAAACTTTCTTTTATTTTTTTTCTCTAGTTAAGATTTTACAATATTTTTAATAAATTATTTTAACAATAAAAATAATTATTTAAAATAAAAATTAATTATTTAAACAATTTATTTTTATTATTTATAAACTCTTTATATAGATTTTTTTTGTTTATCTTAAGTTAGTAAAGTTACAAAGAAATTTGCATATTTATAAATATTATACTTTAAAATAAGTTAATAATGTTTTTATTATAAAAGATTTATTAATACTTTTGGTAAAGTAAATTAGCTGGCCAAGTAAACGGAAAATAACAACAACAAAAAAATCAAAAGTAAAACTTGCAATGAAACGTATTATCTGTTATATTTGTGTAAAACATAAAACAAGATAATTAAATAATATTAAAGTATTATTAATTATTAACCAACATTTATTAATATAAAAATTATTTTTTTTTTAGCTTACAAATAAAAAATTTACATGTATATACAAAGTTTAGTTACATAAGTCATTTTTAGTTTTTAGGGCAGTCCCAAGGCAGTGAGGCATTCACTTTTTGCAAGGTTTTAAACTTTGACTATCCAAGGTAGTCAAGGTTTAAAAAAACGAAGTCAAGGTTTAAAAAAAACACATGCCTCACAGGCATGTGTTTTTTTTAAACCTTGTTATGTGGCAGCGCTTTTTTAAACATCGGGGTTGCCAAACATTTGGTCTTTACAGAATAGAATTCAAACCTGTAAAAAAAAAAGAAAACACAGGAAAAAAATATATATATTTACTGTGTTTCCCTTCGTAAAAGCGGGAATTCTGGCAATACTACATATAAAGTATAATGTTTTTATCAACAGTCATCAATTAAAAAGTTATTTTAGCTATTTGCTATTTGAAAGAGGATCGTGGAATTCATCAAAAATGTTTTGTTTAAAATTAAATACTGTTTGGCACTTTTTTTTACATTTGTAATTTAAAAATGAAAATAAAAAAAGACAATATATTTAACTAATCGTTTAAGTCTTTCAAAACTGTATTTAAAACAATGTACACAATTAAAATAGATCAAAGTTTCAATGAATAAATTTAATAATTCATTCATTAAAAATGAAAACAATTGTTTTTTGTTCTTTTTTTCTTTCTACTATATCAAACAAAGTAGAGAAGCGATTTAAAAATTAAAATTTAAGAAGATTGCAAGTTGAGTAATTAGAATTAAACATTTATCAAGTAGAAAAATATTTCTGCTATTTTTGTGTCAGAATGTAATGTTCTTTTTTTTTGTTTTGTTTTAGTCGCATCTAAATTCCCAATTTCGCAAAAACGCTGTATGAATTTTTTTCCTAGCTAACACCCTGCAAGTTGATCTATTAACAAAGAAATTTAAAACAATATTAGGGATCTGTTGAAAAGGAAATGAGCTTGAGCTTAAGTTAATCACAAAAAATAACCACAGCACATTAAAAAAAACTGAGTTCTGATTTTTTACCCTAATATGTATATACATATATATAAATATATGTATATATAAATTTTTATATATTTTATATATGTTTGCTGCTATGTTTGTGTTGTTATTTGTATTGTTGTTGCTTCTTATATATGTTGTCGTTTACTGTTTTTAACTAACACATGTAATGTGTTGTATATTGCATTTAGAGGTGTATAAAGTATACTTTTTATTTAATTATTTGTATCTTTATTTTTTTATTTATTTTGGTTATTTGTATTTGTTTACAATATTATTTTCTCTCAGTCTCTTTCTTCGAAGCTTATCTTATTAAACATGTGTTATCTAAAACATCAATCTCTCTTATGTCATTATTCACTAATTCTCTCTGGTTTGTTACTCTTAGTGTTTTTATATTACTATACCAATTTTTGATGATTTTTATTTTTTTAACTTCTTTCATTTAGTTTGCTATCTTTATTGTTTCTAGGTCTTCATCTTTTTGATTTTTTATTAATTTATGTTTGATTAGTTGTAAGATATGATAATATTTTTGTTTTTTGATTTATTTGTTTATTTTGTAAAGGTGTCACTCAGGCCATGCGATAAAATGTCAGGAGATGTGAATTTTACGTCGTTCAAGAGCAATTTTGCATGTAGCTAGGGCTATTTGCGTCGAGCAAAAAAGTTTTTGAGTATATTTAAAGATAGAGTAGAATTTTAATGAAGTAATTTACGATTATTTTAACATTTAATAAAGTATTTTAAAAACCGCACCCAGTTGATATAATATTTTGAATTACAAAAAAATTAAATGTGCTCTTTATTTACAAGTAGAAAAAATTCAGACTAAAAAAAAAGTTCAAATCTTTTTAAACTAACATTTTAATAAAATTTTTCAGCAATAGCAAAGTTGTCGATAAAATTGAACAAAAATACTTGCTTTTAGTTTTAGATTTTTAACTTAAATAATTATTTTACGAGGGTTTGTTAGGTTTTAAAACTATTCCATAGACTTAAAAATATTTATTAACTGTTAGACATATTTAAAGTATTTAAGAGTAATTTTGAGGCAACATTTTAAAAATTGGTAGGCGCAAATAAAAAAAAAAAAATAAAAGGATTGATATTAAAACGTATTCTACTTGATTCAACAAAAAAGTACAGTTATTAAAATTTTTGTAAAAAGTAACTCAAAAAAAATTACTTAAATAATAACAATCGTTTTTTTTGTTTTAATGTTTAAAAAAGTTGTAAACATAAAAAATCTATTCAAAACGTTCGTTAAAGTTTTTTAGTAATACGAGTGATTGTGCTTATCAACCGCTTTATGAAAATAAATAAAAATAGATAAATAAAAAAATTATATATAAAATCGATGGTAAAAATATAAGCTATTGGACAATTTTTAATTATACAATATTAAAATTTCCAGTTTATTACTCGCTGACTTTTTAAAAAGAAAAAATAATTATTTGAAAAAATTTAAATTACATATTTGAGAAAAAAAAAATCAAATATTAGCATATTTTATAATATTTTTTAAATGTTCAGTTATAATGTTTTTTATTCGTTTAATATAGACAAAATGTGTCAAACGTCAAGAAAGTAAACAAACGTTTTTACATTTTAAAAAACGAAACATTCCAAAACATTTTTAAATAATAACACTTCTACATCAATGATTTAAAGTAGTTTTGCGGTAATTAAGTAAATTGGTGCAGTTAATGTCAATAAATATGAAAAGCAAATAAAAAGAATTTAATGACGTCAAAAATCATGTCGTGCTTATGCGTTGCGCAGTTTTTATTCATCACAAGAACTGTGTCACTCCATTGACTAGTTTTAAACTATATGAGTGACACCGAACCTAATTTTGTAAATTATAATTAAATTTGTAATTTTGATATTATGGTTAAATAAATGGATTTAAAAAAAAAATGTTAAGTCTTGTTTTAAAGCGTTAAGCTACCGGCAATTTATGTACGCCTTAAGCACATTAAAAAACAACCATAAAAAAAGTATATATAATAAAAACTTAAATTTATTGTCTCGCAAGCACAAGAATATTCATAAAACTTTTGTTTGCATCTAAGTTTGGATTTCTTTTTTTTTTTCTACAAATTTTATCATGGCTGTTGCTCAAAGGAGCTATCATCTCTTGTTGCATCAAGCAAAGCTTATTCTTGCTTAATTTACCATTCAGCAAAAGTTGCATCTTTTTGCTGTATATATCCATTCATCTTTAAATTTTATTAATCTAGTTCTTTTTTCACACACTCCGATTTCTTGGAATTGTCTCCCATGAAGAGTTATCCTGACTCATACAACATTCAACTTTTTAAGTCTTCTGTCAACCGTTCCTTTGCTCTTTAACTCTGTTCTTTGTTTTCTAGTAACTTCCAACTTAATAATGGTTGCTTGCAGCCTTGTTTGGAGTAATATGAATAAAAATTAAAAAGTATATATTCTGTTCAATGATGGATATCAAATGTTTAAATAAAATAAGTTTAATAGGCTTTTTGTACATTTTTTTTAGATTGGTTTAGCTGTAGGTGATATAGCAATTGTTAGAAAGTCTGCCTACATACTCAAGCTGAAAGCTCAAGTTGACATTTTAAAAGCACTTGAATCAAAATATCCTTTACAGTTGTTAAAAAAGATTTACTGTAACCAAGTTACTATTTATCCAAATAAAATCAGTTTGAAGAACAGGTATTAAAATTGATATGTGATTTTTATTTATAAAATACTGTGGAAAAATAAAAATACAGACTAAAAAATGTATGTGATTTTAAAAGGCTTTTAAAACTTTTCTGCTGAGATTAACAAGTTTTTGGTATTCAGAGTTTCACCAGTATTTTGTTGATATGTATTTGAATTTTTTTTTATCAGTAACAACGTAAAAAGTTTGTTTTTGAAAATACATTCTTGTCTAAAGGAAATTTCACTTTTCCTAAATCCACTTTGAATGTTTGTGATAGTAAAAACTTTTTTTATATGGCATGTTAGCAGGAGATGCATTTCCATAAATAGTGACTTGCACTCTAGGATGATAACCTTTGAATGGAGCAAATACAGAGACATCTAAGAGCTGCACTTTGTGACTACTTTGTGGTGGTATAGTAAGGATATTAATACCATTAGTCTTTGCAAGATAATAATAATAATAATAAGGTATAACTGTAACAACTGTTTTAAACAGTTGCGAAGTGCAAAATCATAAGATATTGCACTGTAACAGCTCATTTTGTCTTTTGTTTGTGTTTTAACAAATAGTTTCTGCAAAATCCAGCTCTGTCTAGTTTTTTTTTGAAGTTATTTATTGAAGTAGCTTCTATTATTTCAGATGGTAAGCTGTTCCACGCATTTACAACTCGATTTTGGAAAAAATGATACCTGAAGGTATTTCTGCTAAAAGGCTTCCTCATTTTGAATTTGTGCTGTCGCAGACATGGACCCTCCTCCAATGCATTTCCACAATTTATTTTATCGTGGCCATGCTGAATTTTATATTGTTGAATCAGATCTCCACGTAGTCTACATTCTTCCAGTGAAGTTAATTGCATAATATTCAACATAGCCTCATATGATAATTTCCTAATTGTAGGTGCTATTTTGGTTGCTCTTTTTTGGATTTTCTCAATCTTGTCAATATCTTGTTTTAAAAATGGAGACCATGCCTGGACCGCAAACTCAAGATGTGGACGTATGAATGTTGTATAGAGCATTTTTACCATGTTTACATCTAAATATTTAAAGCTTCTCTTTATGGTACCTAACATTCTGTTTGCTTTGCTGGTTGCTGAATCAACTTGTGAGTGCCATTTTAAATCGGATTGAACCATTATACCAAATCACATTCAGCTTTTGTGTTACACAATGTATAATTGTAATTGCAATCAATATCAGTCATTATAAATGTAGCATTTGGATTTTTTTTCCCAATATGCATAACTTTGCATTTTTCATAATTAAATTTTGTGAGCCAAATATATGACTATGCCATTATATTATTTATATCATTTTAAAGGCTTATTGAATCATTTGGATTTTTTATAATATTTATTATTTTACTATCATCAGCGTAAAGTTTAATAGGGTTTTTGACTTGATCTGGCAAATCATTAATAAAAATCAAAAACAGCAGTGGTCCTAAAACTGACCCCTGTGGTACACCACTAATAACTGGTAGCCAATCTGAGACAGTGTCGCCAAAGACCACTCTCTGTTTTCTGTTAGTTAAAAAGTTCTCTATCCATCCCAGATAATTTCTCACAATACCATATGATTGAAGTTTAGTGATCAAACGCGAGTGTGGTATTTTATCAAAAACCTTTTCAAAGTCTAGATACAACATATCAACTGAGTGGCCATTTTCTAGTGCATCTGTTATGATATCAAGAGTTTCCAATAGGTTTGTTGTGCAGCTTTTATTTTTTCTGAACCCATGCTGATTTTCATTTAATAAGCTGTTATTTATTAGATAATCCATAATTTCATCTCTAATGAGTAATTCCAAAACTTTACATGGGATAGAAGTCAATGATATTGGCCTGTAATTAGATGCAATGTTTGTATTACCTTTTTTAAAAATTGGTGTTATATTTGCTAATTTCCAGAGTTCAGGTAATTTTTTCTCAGTCAACGATTTTATATATATTAAATGTAATGGTTCACAGAGAGTACTATGACATTTATTTAAAACATATGGGCTTACCCCATCTACTCCGATAGCTTTGTAAACATCTAATTTTTTTAATTTATTTTCAATAGTATGGCAAGTTATTTTATTATTTATATCTACTTCTAGAATAATTTCAGTCTTCTGCGGTATATTTGGTATGTTATGTTTATCTTTGTTAACACAAACTGAATTGAAACTATTGTTTAAAATATTTGCTATAGATTCTCTATTTGTTACAATGTTATTATATTCATTAGACATTGAAGCTATTCCTCCTTTAACTTTTTTGTTAGAATTTACATAACTATAAAATAACTTGGGATTTCTTTTTGATGTTTCACTGATTTTTTTTTTATATTCAATACGTTTTAACCTCACCATGTTTTTAACTAATTTACTTTGTATTTTGTATTGCTGAACCAAAATGGGTGATTTGGATTTATTTGATATTAATTTGTTCCATAAGGTTGTTTTATGTCTTATTTCAGTCTTAATTTGTTTGTCAATATATGGTTTTAAAGCTATGTGTTTATGCACTTTTTTAGGTATATAACAGTCAGATAATTCTTGATATTTATTTACAAAAATTTTGTAGCATTTATCAACGTTTTTATTGGAGAAAATATTATACTATGGAATGAATTGTTCATTTCTTGATAATTTCCGGCTTTGTAGTTAAACTTTGATTTCCCATAGGAAGATTTTGATGTTGTTGGTTTTTTTAAGATGTAATTCCAATACAATATCTGATGTGCATTATTTAAATTGCTTAACGGAGGATTATAGCCTATGATCGAAATACGCTCTGGTGCATCGGTTAAAATCAAATCTAAGGTATTGCCTTCTGACAGTGTCCCTGAATTAAAGGTTGGTTTTGTGACGTTTTGAGTCAAAAAATTATCATTTAAATTGTCTAAAAAAATTTGTGCTTGTCTATCATCTTTTAACACTGTTTGGATATTCTCATCATTCTCGTTCCATTTTATATTTGGTAAATTTAGGCTAAGAGTAGACCTGAATATTTGTTGCAATCAACACTTTTTTTAGCTATATTTATTATTTTATTTATTTTTTGATTTGTCAATTCTGTAGCATCTGGTGGACGATATATGCTACCAATTAAGATATTCTCATTTTCTGTTTTAATGACACACCAGACTTGTTCAACTGTCATTTCTTCAGATGCTAGGTCATATGGAGTATAAGCAATGTATTTATTTTTAACATAAATAACTACACCTCCACCATGAGATTTAGTTGAATTAGATTTAGATTGATTGTTGTAAAAAACATTATACCCGCTTACATTTATGGCACTTGATGAGTTAAACCAAGTTTCAGTTACAATAAATATGTCAGGATTATACACTGCTGTTTCTAACAAAAACAAATTGAACTTATTGTTAAGTGAAGTCGCATTTGTATATCTACAACATAGACGGTATTTGGGTATTGATTTGCATAATAATACTTCTGATTTAACATAATTAGATACAGGATTATGTGTAGAAAGGACAGCCATTACTGCAGGTTGATACAAATTAATTGAGGATTGCTATTGCTTTGGTTTTTTTATGAGTTTCACAACTTTAAAATTTCTCATAGTGTAGTAGTATTCATCTTTTTGATTTAGGCTAGCATTTAACAATTTAACTTCACTACATAGCTGTTTAATGAGATCTCTTTCAGATTCTGTCATATCTGAGTTAAAATAGATTTCATTTATCTTGTTTCTGTTAATGTATGCAGCTTTTAAGATGAAGATGAAGAGCTTTTATAGAAAAGTGGCTCTGATGAATATCAAAGATAAGCAGAGTTGGATTTTCCTTTGAACAGAATTTTTTTGTTATAAAATGTTGAATTACTTCTATAAATAGCTTTGTATTCATCCATTCAGTTGGATTTACAAGACCAAGAGATCTAGATGGTGCATTATTAAACATATGTTGCTTAAATTTTTTTTTTGGAATATCATTGCAGGTGGATTGATAACACCTAAGGTACTTATGAAAAAACAATTTGTCCCTAAAGTTCTATGTTCTCCACTTGTCACAGAGTTAACTTACTTGATGCCTTTTTAAGTAATGATTTTATTACATTTTTGTACTATTGGTACAGGGATTATCCTTTTCCGGATGTTTCCGGTATTTTGGTTATTTTTTGAACTTTAAGTTTTTCAGGATATCCAAAACATTATCTATACTTTTTTTATAAGTTTGGGTATAAATTTTTGTAAAACCATTGTTTTTTAAATTTTTTTATTCATCACTCATAGAAAAATATAGAAAAGTTTGAAAAAAAAAATTGAAACAACTAAAAACAGAACTAAGAGAAAAATAAGAGGAAATATATTCTGTTTTTTTTTCAGCATATTTTACCCATACAATTTTCCGGATTTTTAAAATATGACTTTAATTAATTAATATCTTAATTCGCTTTTTGTAAACTTTATTTTATGAAAAAATTAACTCTTTATTATGCTTTTTATGCTCGTATTATGAAATATACTAACAAGAATTTAGGAATTATGAAATTTCATATTCATTTTATAATAAATTGGATGATGAGATAGCAATGGTAAATTAAAAAGTATGCATATGTCTTCAGAATTGATAAATTGCTACCTTTCGTTTTGTTAATCTTGTTAAACTTTAGGGTTTAGTTTGGAGATGCAACAGTTTAAGCAATAAAAAAGAGGCTTTACAATGTATAAAAATTCAATTCATGGTCATAACATGATTAATAACACGCTGAGCTTTAATACATAAATAGATTTTATATATTAATAGAAATCAGTATAAAAACATAAATTAAATGAATGTTAATCCTTCAACAACAACAAAAATTAATAAATATATTGATATTAGTAAAATAAAGCTAACTTATGTTTATGTGAACTTGTGTAACTTATGTTTATGAGAAAAAATTAATTTTATAACTGCATAGGTACCTTATCATACTACATGCATAAAAATACTGAATAACATGAAATTTATTTTTACAACATAAATATTATTAAATGGTCCACCCAATTCGTTTATTTTTTTTAATTATTAAATAATCCATTAATAAATGGTCCACCCAATTTTTTACCAAGTTAGGTGAAATATTTAAGTATAGAATTAAAGTTTATTACCCACCAGGAATAATTTATAGTATGCTTTACTATTGAGTAATTTTCAAAACAGCAGGTCAATTTAGTTTCATGAAGCCTCACTAAAACTGTTTCACCGTACCCCATACATTATGTTGAAATAAGATGACTGGTTTTTGCTTTCAAAAAATGTTTTATTAAATGTCTTTGCCCAACTGAAGAGCTCATGAAATATTGTTTACAAAATAGAAGCAATTTTCGAAGAATAAAGTGAATAAAACACTGTAAAACGCAACAGCTCTAAAAATTCATAAATTACTTTGCAACAAAAAAAGCACAAGTTTGAACCTCTCACAATATTTTTAACATGTTCTGATTTGAATTATATGTTAAACAATACATCTAGTAGTAACTGATTACAACTCGAAAGGATTCGTCATAATAGTTTTATATCTGTGTATAATTGCTTTGTTTCGTGGTGCCTCATATCTCATGGTGTCTCACTCCCGGCTATTTTTTTTTTTTTTTTTCAAATTGTTTACCTCCCCAAGGCCCGAGGGGACTACTACAGTCGAGGAGGCTACTCATTTTTTTTTTTTTTTTTTTAAATAGTGGTACAACCCTCTCTCAACTCTTTAACTCCGAAACACAAACCTTGACAAGCAAGACCGCTGCGCGGAGAAATTAAGTTGAGCGCGGTACTTCCAGGGACGTGGTGGGAGTCGAACTCCAAACCACTCGCTTACAAAGTGAGCGCCCTTACCACTACACCATTACCGCATTATTAATGCTTTATTACCACTACACCACTACCGCATTATTACCGCATTATTATATTGCTTTTGTCTTTTAGTTTTTAATTTAAGTGTTTACTTAAAATTCATATTTGTACTATTTGTAAATATTCCATGAAATGTTAAGTCATTAATTTAATTTTATAAGAAACTTTATATAGAAAATAATAATTCTGTTTTTATTTGTCCTTTATAAAAAAAAATTATTATGTAAATAATAGTTGATTTTTAATAAATTATTTTAGAATTCTTAATTGGTTCGGTCACTCAAATTATAGTCCCTTAAAACATAAACAAGAAAAAAGTAGATGGAAAAAAGATGTTGCAAAGGAATTAGAATTACAATGTATTCAATTAAATATTCAAAGAAAGCGAATGCAAACTATAAAAAGTGTAATGAAAGAAAATCTTCAATTAACAAAGGAAGTTGCAGCTATCTTAAAGAAAAAAGATAAAAACAAATATAAATGAACAGTTAAAAAATGTTTCTTAATTTTTTGAGATTTAAGGTTTACTTGTTTATTATTTATTCTTTAATTTTGTATATTGTTTATACTTTAATTTTGTTTCAAACCTTTTTTGACAAATTTTGACAAATTTTGACAAATTTTGTAGCAAAAAAAAGTTATACAACAAATATAACTACATTGTTAACATAACATCAATACAGTTTGTTTAAAAAATGTCAGGAAAAAAAATTTTCTAGACATTTTTTAATCATATTATGTCAATTTTCATTTGTTGTATATGAAGTTTATATTTTTTGATTGTTAATTTATTTTTTATTATTTACTTTTTATATATAATAATAGTTATATTTTGGGTTTGGAGACTTTTGAGTTACTTAAATTTTAATTAAAATTATCAAAGTTAAAAATATTTTTGACTAAGACAGAAAAGATTGATTTATTAATATAATCATTATTCCTTGATTTTTTTAAATCTAAAGACTCTATAACCTAATTTATATTTGTATAGCTTAGCATTCATTAAGAATCTAGAATGTTTTTCAGAAAAAACATAATTAAAACATAGATAGCACTTTTTTACCCTAATTAAGCTATCTAATGGTATTATCCTTAACAATAAACTTGAAGTTGAAACAGGATTTCTTATGCGGTCTCAGCAATGCACACTTAACACACTTACAAAAAAATCACCTGAATGCAACATGGCAGTTCCAATACTTTGATATTCTGAAATTAGCAGAATGAATTAAAATATGTTAAATTTTTGAAATTAATGATTTTGTTGTGAAAGCATAGGTTATTTTTCCAAACATTATTTATTAAAATTATATCATTGTATATATCATTTATTAAAAAACAATCGCTGCATCTCAACTTGCCATATAAAAAAAAAGTTTAACTCACATTTTGTGCAAATTTTTGATGCAGCTGTTTATCAAAAATTTAATTAGAGTAATAAAAAAATGTTTATATATATATATATATATATATATATATATATATATATATATATATATATATATATATATATATATATTATATATATATATATATATATACATATATATGTTTATATGTTATATATATATGTGTATATATATATATATATATATATATAAATATATATATATATATATATATATATATATATATATATATATATATATATATATATATATATATATATATATATATAAATATAAATATATATATATATATATATATATTTTCATGTTTGTCGAAAAGTTTTTCCCATAAACTGTAGTTTTAAAGAGAGCAATAATAAACCAGACCAGAAATAGTTTAAAAGCTTGAATAATTTTTTTTTTCTAATTAAATGATAGACTGCAAAGCCTCAGTTGATGTAGCAGTATAATAAAATAGCGGGACAGGCTATTTGTCAGTTGATGTAGTAACACTCTGTTGCGAATCAGGCTTTTGATAGATAGTTGATATAGCAAGCTATAAGATAGTTGATTGTAGAATACACTAACATAATTTGTATATATATATATATATATATATATATATATATATATATATATATATATATATATATATATATATATATATATATATATATATATATATATATATATTTATATATATATATATATATATGTATATATATGTATATATATATATATATATATATATATATATATATATATATATATATATATATATATATATATATATATATATATATATATATTATATATATATATATATGTATATATATATATATATATATATGTATATATGTATATATATATGTGTATATATGTATATATGTATATATATATATATATATATATATATATATATATATATATATATATATATATATATATATATATATATATTTATTTATTTATATATATATATACATACATTTTAATATTATTAGGTTAATAAAACTTTTAATAATGCATAAAATCTTAGCTAAATTAAGCAGTGTTAGAAACCTTCCTTATGACAGTAATAATGACACTAATGATATAGTAAAATTTCATCATGGTGATGATATTGACACTGAGTTATCAAATCTTACTTTTTCTAAAGAGACTAATAAAGGTGCGTTTGATGAAAAAATCCAAAGCAAAACTATTTTCATTAAAAAAACAAAAAAAACATTTATTGATCGGATTGATAAGTTATTTAATGGTAACCTGAATCAAATTGGGGAGAATAAAAATGCACACGATGGATTAAGTGGAACTTTGGAATGTGATATTGCAAAAAATGATAAAAAAATGTCAATATTTAGTTTACCAAATCACCTTTTTGATTATTCAAATTCAAAAACTAATTTAAAAGAGACAAATGAGTTTTATAATAATATTGAAAAATTTTCACTTCAACTTGCAGCAAAAGAAGGTGCTATTGACCGTATTAAAGAGATTGTTACAGAATATGACTTAAATAAAAATGAGCTGTCATTTGAAAATTTTATAAATGCAAATGATAATTGGAATGGTTTTAATGCTTTACACCTAGCTGCGCGCAATAATCAAGTAGAGGTTGTGGAATATCTGCTTGATATAGGAGCATCTATTGATAAATTAGATAGAGAAGATGGCAATACACCCTTTTTTGTTGGCAGCAAAGTAAGTCAATTAAGTTTTAGATTTTTTTAATAAATCTAAACTTTTAAATGGTTATTCTAGTTAATAAATTTATAATAGTTTTTTTTCTGTCATTGAAATTTTGGAGCATATCAATTCAATTATCAAATTTACTGCTCCAATATTGCAAGCTGTGAATTTGAAAACACTTGGAGGAAAAGTTTAATTAATTTTAAGAATTCAAAAACATTATTTTCATTAGACTTGTATTATTATTATTGTTATTATTGTTGTTGTTGTTGTTGTTGTTGTTATTGTTGTTGTTGTGGTTATAATTACTTCTATAAATATCATAATATAAATAGAATAAGTCAATAAGACTAATTCTAATATAGAGTTTTTAAAAAGCCTCTTTTTCTGCAAATTTTTTTTGTGTTTGTTTAAAAATAAAAAGCAACCCTTTTTCAGCAATTTCTTTAAAAATTTACATATTTTCTATAGAAATTCTTTATTTTTCTTATTATTATTATTGGTATTATTGCTATTATTACTGCTATTATTATTATTTTTATTATTATTATTATTGTTACTTTTATTACTATTGTTATTATTATTATTATTATTATTACTATTTGAATTAAAATGTTTATTGTAAATAATAGTTCTTTTTTATAAATAAATTTTATACCTCATTTAGATATGGAAAAACAAATTCAGCTAAGTTACTGATTGGGAAAGGTGCAAACGTCATGATGCAAAACAACAATGGTTCTACAGCATTACATTATGCAAGCAGACGTGGCAATAAAACTCTTGTTTCAATGATTCTTGAGATTCCAAATATTGACATTAATATCCCTGATATTAATTTGGTAGTTATTAACACATTTTAAATTTTATATTAACTTAATTGAATTACTATAGATTTTTATTAATTTTTCTATAAAGTTTACTTAATGCAAAAAAATTATTTTATTTGAAAGAGTATAAACAAAATAAGTTAGCATATTATTCTAACCATATTATAAAATCAAAAAAAAAAACTTATTTCTTTTTTTAACTGCATCCAGTTACTGTCATGTAGAATACTACTGTCATGTACCGGAATAACTCTGCTAACCATCCTCAAATCTCTTTTTCATCTATTACGCTAGTGTAGATATAAATCTGTGTTACATTATTTTCTGCCTAGAATGATGAATGCTGAATCTTCTCGACTCTACTCATAGGTTTTTACTTGTCTCTTCTTGATAGTGGCTATGTAACTCTTCCTGTTATCTCCTAATGAATGTTCTAAAACTCAGTATAATGGTTCTGAGGTCAGCTGGTAGTAAGGTTTCTAGAACTTTGTAGTAGCTCTCAGAAAAGCTGATTCCATCAACAGCTGCAAAATATCATAATATTAACAGTGTTATGTTGTGCATGGATGGTATCCCTATTGATGCTTTTGGTGCGTATTGTCGATATGTGTTGATCTATGTTGATCTGTGTTGATATATGTCGATATGTCTCGATATATATCGATGGTGTCCCTATTAACGTTTTTGGTGCGTATTGTATAATGCATAAGAAGCCCTATTTTACAAGTAATATTTTACAAGTTAATTAACAGGACTTAGACAACAGCATAGCTTATTGCTAAGGAAGCCTTGCTCAAACTATGAATGAGTCAAGTTCTCATTAAACTTAAATCATGCCAAAAGTAACCTAAAATTAAAAACATTAAACATTAAACATTAAAAAACATCCTCTCCATCTAACTGTTTTAAATATCTAATTGAAGTTATATTCACAGAGAACTCTATATAATAAAAAGTAATTAACTTAAAGAAGTTTAGGATTACACCTATTTATGATAACTGACATTTTAGACATTTAATTTCACTGGCGTGAAACTAATAACAAAGTTGTTTTCAAAAAAACATCAAAATTCCAAATGAAGACTTTATAATAATAATTATAAATAATTTATCTAAAATAAATTAGAGTCAATTGAAATGAAAAAAAACTTACTGGTGCTGCATGATGTGCTATGAAGTGATATTTTTGCTCCAAGCTTATAGTCAGCGAGCACTGATTCAATGTGGAGCTTACAAGTAAATAAAATAATAAATAAATTAAAAAATAAATTACATTTTAATAAATTTTTATTAAACTTTGGAAATAAAATTTACTTTTCTTTTAAGCTTTTAAAAAAATATAAGTTTAAAATTTGTTTTATTAGAAATAAGATATTTACATAACTTTTTATAACTAAATAAAGAAAATTAAAAAGAAATAATTACAACATTATTTTCAATCTATTCTAGGCTACTCCACTTCATCTTGCAGTTATTGGTGGGTATGAATGCATAGTAGATATTCTTATAAGCTATGGAGCAGAGGTGACTGCTAGAGATTATAAAGGTCAAGGACCTATACATTACTTAGCAGCATCAACCACAGATGATATTAGAGCTGAAAAAAATAAAGGAAAAAATAAAGGTTCGCATTTGAAACATTTTTTTTTTTCAATTTGTTTTTATAAATTAAGGCATTTTATATTTTGAAATAATTTTTCGTTATCATATCATAGGATGTCAATCTACTGTTAAAAAAATGGCTATTCAATATGTTCCTTCATCAATTATAGGGGATCTTATTGATTTACTCATAAGTGCTGGTAAGTACATGTGAATGTGGTATATTTTGAAACGTTTCATTTTATTTGCTTGTAAACAATAACAAGATCAAAAAAATTTTTTTTTTAGCTTGTAAAGATGTTCCTAAAAATCAATATGAGAAGCAAAAAATTGAGTTTGTAAACAGTAAAACAGTTGAAAATGAAACACCTTTACATATCGCAGCATACTGTGGAAATGAATTATGTTTAAATAAGCTAATATTAATTGGTGCAGATGTCAATTCTCAAACAGAATCTGGTTCAACTCCTTTACACTTAGCTGCTATCAGTGGCCAGAAAAGAGCAGTAAATATGTTATTAAATAATAATTCTAATATACAAGCATCGGACAATGATCTAATGACTCCAATACATCGGTAAAATGTTTGCTTCTGCTCTCTATAAATTTTTCATATAAATTTATTTAAATCATATATATATATATATATATATATATATATATATATATATATATATATATATATATATATATATATATATATATATATATATATGTATATATATATATATATATATTTATATATATATATATATATATTTATATATATATATATTTATATATATATATATATATATATATATATATATATATATATATATATATATATATATATATATATATATATATATATATATATATATATATATATATATATATATATATATATATATATATATATATATATATATATATATATATATATATATATATATATATACATATGTTTAAACAATTTTAAAATGTATTCTACAAAATAGAGTGCTCAATGTTCTTAAAAGAACAGAGCAATTATAAATTTGTAGAAAATCATTTAAAAAATTTTTTTTAACATTGAGTACTCTATTTGTAGAACAGCCTTCTTCGTTCAGCCAGTGTGGTTTTCACCTGGTAGCCAAGTCTTTTTGTGCCAGCCCACACACCCGCAAAAACTTTGGGGAGCGCATAAAAAAGCATTTGCCAAAAAAATAAAATCATTTTATTTTTAGTTGTAACAAAACTTTTTTGTTTTTTTGTTCAACTTTTATGAAAAATCGTATTTTTTTACCAGTTTTTTTTTGAATTAATTTATCTAGTATTTATTCAAAACATTTTTTCGCTGTTTTAATTTTAATTTAAATGGCAGAAAAAAATGAGTTTTTAAAATCGTACAGGCTAAATTAAAAAAGACCATCCTGTCAGTACTTTCTTTTGCGCTGGCATCAAATTTCAAACAAAGAAGACTGAGCTTGGTGTATTGAATTTCTAATAGAAATAAAAAAAGTATTAAAACATCTTCAGATTTTTACAGATTTAAAAAATAATGCAAGTGTTCCTGTTGATTCACTGCTAATTTCACTACTATTCACTTGATAGATGGGCAGGAGTGAACTGAGGAATGGTACGAGTTGGTCCCTAGCTTTATTTACCAGAAAATTAAAGTTAGATGTTGTCTTAAACAGATTAAGTAAAAATTAGGTGAGGATCAAATAGTTTTGTTATTTGTATTCGCATTGCAACTAGGTAATAATGTAACAATATTTTTTAACATTATTTTAAATTCATTAAATGAAATTTATAAACTAGAAGAATAATAGTCTGTTCACATTCTGTTATACTCATTTATTAACAACAACAACAACAAAAACAACTGCAATGTCAAAATATAAATGACAAATATTAAGAAAATCTAAAGTTTCATTTGTAACATTATAATAGCACTAAAATATTATATATATTATATTAGCAAAAATATCAATAGTCAACAAATATTGATACAGTCAACCACAACCTTAAACCTGTAATGACAATGTTGCCTTTTACTTGTTTAAAAAAATATTGGTTGAGGTAGTAATAATTTAACAGCCATTGGAAGGACAGTCAAAAGAATCAGGCATCTTAAAAATATCACCTTTTGCTAAGAAAACTGATTGTAAATTCTTATTTAGCAGAATTTAAATATAATACCTTTCCAATACAATATGTAGTCTTTTTTAAGGATGTAAATATGGAATTACAAAATTTATTTAAGATTTTTGACACAGACTGTGTAAATTAAATCAAAAAATATTTGCCATAAAAAAATATCATATGTTGAATTTTGATGTGCCGAATACTGCATTTGGCATCATTTTGAACATGAAGATGAACAAAACAAAAATGAAGTCTCTAGCTCTAGCGGAAGGTTATCTAGGTCAATTTTCTTTTTTTTTTTGAATATATAAATTTTTAGATAAAATTGAATTTTATCTTAATATAAAAATAGCAATTGTTACTAAAAACAAAACAAAATTGTTGGTGCGTGTCAAACAGGTCCATTTGCGTGCTATGAAATCTTTTTTTGCAAATTAAAGTAAATATGTCAATATTTTGACCTTGTAGTGGTATTTTAGTGTGAAAAGTAAAATATAAATCGGAGATTATGTTTATCATTTCATTTCAAAAGAAATAAAACAAATAATAATACAAATATAAACCTATATTTTTACTACAAACATTACTTAGCTAAATAATAGTATTAAGATCTTTCTTTGTAGCTTTTTTTGATATCTGCTGCGGGTATCTGGATTTTGATATCTTGATTACCTAGAGATGTGACGCGTTTTTTTAGTTCTTGTTTTTTTTGTTGTTTTTTTTAAAAAAAAAACATAGGGGTCTGTTTTTTGTTTTTTTTGGAAAACATTCTAAAATTCATTGTTTAAGTTACTAAATTTAACTTTAATGGCAATATCTTAATTCATGTTTTAATTTCTGATTTAAATAAGACAATAAATACTGAAATTTACTGAATTAATTTTTGTTTTGGTATATTAACACAGTTAAAGGTTAACACGGTTGAAGCAGTCTTGTATAAAAACTACTTTGATAATTTTATCTTCCTCAATTTTATCTTTATTGTTTTTAGTGTATATTGACACAATAAATATTATTTATTTACATTTATTATATTTAATAAAATTTAACAACTAATGAATGAGACTTAGCATAATCAAGAGTCAAGCGAGAATGAGTTTTTGTTAATGAAACTCGAGATAATAACTCTTTTGAGCAGCCACCATGATAGAATTTGTAGAAAAGAGAAAGAGATGCAACTTTACAACAATGGGAAAGAGGCTCAAGCTTAGCAGATAGAGCTTGTTTAGAAGAAAAAGGGCATCATAGGAAGAACCAGCCCAAATATGACAACAACATTCCATACAGGGACAAAAAGATATTTGTAGTGGTAGAGAATGGAATCAAGGGTAAGAAAACGACGATAATGATAAAGGGGTGCTAATTTAGCAATCGATTGTATATTTTGTTTACATGAAAGGTTAGTAGCAAATAATATTCCAAGAAGATGTAAAAAAGAGGACTCAGATAAGGGTTACCATTTATTAATATAGGAATGTCGACAGTATTGTGGTAGTTGTTTGCAGTAAATAACTGAGTTTTGTTGGAATTAAAATTTATAAGCTAAAATATGTGAGCCCCAATCTATTACAGAAGATCAGATAAAAAATTGACTGCCTTTTCTAAGCAATCAAAAAGAGAAGACTTTTTGTCAAGACAGGAGTAAAAACTTGAGTCATCAGCAAAAAAAGCTACTATAGATGTAAGGTTGTCGGGAAGATCAATAATGTAGATAAGAAACAAAAAAGGACCAAGAATAGAACCTTGAGATACCCCAGAAGTTACTGGAAATAAATAAGTAGGTCTTTGACGATGATTATAATAAAGCAGTTAGAAAGAAATGATTTAATAATCCCAGATACACAATTTGAAGTTTCAAGTCTAATTTAAGTTTAATTGTTCAATATTTAGTTCATACTTAAGCTCATTTTCTATTCAACAGGTTCCTAATATTGTTTAAATGGTCCCTTAAATGTTTATATTAAAAAAGTCAACTTATTACTCAAATAAAGAGAAACTTTATATAAATCTTTTCTGAATTAGAATCTAAAAATAGATTAATACAAAAAATAACCACACCACATTAACAACACTGAGTAGTGATATTTAAAGCACCATAATATCTATATATACATACATATATATATATATATATATATAAAGAGAAAGTATATCTTTAAATTATTAAGTGATTTTTTTTTTTCTTGTTGGTAATCAACAGGAAGAACAAAGAGAATTATGATTAGGCTCTCCATACAGGGGGCAGAAATAAAACGTTATTCACCAATTTATTTAAACCTCTGAATCAAATTAGTAAAATGGAAAAAGATAATTCTTTTGCCATAAGATTATGTCTAAAAATTGAACTTAAAAAACAGAGCATATTAAAGAATTTTACAAGTGTTCTGATATAGTGCAATATGAAAATATCTAGATGAATAAATAATGTAATTAGAAAAAAAAATGCTGTTAAAAAATTAATTACAAATAAATAAATTACGAATCATCAGGTGGGGTCTGGGAAACTCCGTAAATAATAATAATTAAAAAATTTTTAAGTTTTCCTTAAAGTTAAGTTCAGTATAGGGCTTTTTTTAATATGGGCATACTAGCATTATTTATTTTTTTGATATAACAAACAAACAATGTAAGACTTAATTACTACATAATATACAAATGCTTAATTAAGTTAATAATCTTAATAGATGGCTTATTTTTTTGAGCATTCGAAGTCTGATATTAAATTTGCATGGTATTATACATTAATATATTTACATTATCAAAATTAAAATGGTAACTTTTTTATAGAATAAGAATAGTTTTTATATATAATGATAGTATCACAGGTGTTAGTACAATAAAACAAAAAATAAACATTTTCATACAGTATGCCTAGATATATAACTAACTTAAAGCTAATTTAAATTTTTTATAAAAAATTTATGTTAAATTGGTGTTTATACATCTAATTGTGCCTTTAATGGCCAAATACTAAAATTATACTAGAGTAAAGGAAAACTATTCCAAAATTGATGTTAAAACTAAAAAAATGTTAAAAAAAAGCAATACAACACTAAAAACACCAAAAAAACACCAAAAAAAACACGTTTTTTTGCAACTCTAGGACTACCTTAAAATATAAATATATTAAGTAAATATTATATACTAACATTAATATTATTTATTGCTAATAATTGTCAATTATATTCCATGTGTCATATATAATATATTATAAGTATCAATATATTTATATTCCTGAAGCCTATCTTAATTGTGTGTTCTCTCAAGAAAATCTTGAATTAACTTGATGTGTCATTCTGTACGGTCATTTACAATTGCAAGTGTTCTTATACACTTTGAGAAGTATGTAAAAGACTGAGAGGTTTCCTCTTTTTTATATGCTTCGATGCCTTTTTCTTTTTATAGGAGAAATTCTTTTTTGGAAATATCTAACAGCAAGAACAAAAGGTAGGACTGGTCGTTGAC